TCAAAGATGCTCTATTAAGAGACTGTAATGTACAACACAGAATGATACCGTTTCTTGTTGTGTTAACAAACGGCAAACTGGAGCCTGTGCTTTAATGATAATAATCTGCTCAAATTTAGATGATGGAACGTAACTAGTGAGTCATTTCATGACAATCCTATTCCTATAAACTTATTTTAATTTCCTCTAATATGGTACAAATGCCACTTAGTTGTAACCTAAATACTGTACTTGGCTGCAAGATAGACATAAAATCAGCACTAGATTTTTTTCTTCTGCCTCCGAGCGAGTAAAATCCCATTTTAGGATTTGTTTTGTCATATGAAAAAGTTGGAAAATCCCTATTATAATACCTCTTCTCTTGGAATTCTTGAGTTTTTTATTTCTGAGCCTATTTCCTTTTCCCAGAATTACAAGATGCAAAGCTTATATTTTATAAACCTTGGTATGAAATGTCATTATTCTATTTAAATTTCCCTAATTGAATTCTTGTAGGATATATATGCAAAAGGCATCCTGATAAAGATAAGTATTGCAGCAGACCACATGATAGTAGGTTACTTCTCTTTGAGGTGTGTGAGAAATGCCATTCTTTATTCTTACAAGTTGCGTTTGGGGTAAATGGTTTAGAGATTAATTCTGTATTTTATAGAACAGTTATATATTAGCTATGCTTAATATTTTTTAAGATCCATTAATACAACGTAGCTTGAAATGATCCACGATTTCCTTTTTATTGTGGTATTCCACATTTTTTACAGGCATTCATTTTCCTTTGAGTGTGCTGGCATGAATATGTTGTGCTTCTGTCTTGGAGTAGTAGGGGCTGCTTGAAAGGAATAGCTGACCACCAGGCTTGCGACAGCAAGACTACCTAAGACATTTGGGGAAACCTACCTAGTTTTTGCATTTTTATCTCCTGTAATGAAATGTTGTTAACTCCCCGAAGTAATTAATTTTCATATAGATGGAAATAAGTCTTTTTAAATACTGTTCACTGAGCCTGCCAAATGCTATTGTTGTGCAAACCATCGATTTAGTGTGAAGGACACATAAGGGACCATATCATACTGTAGTGTGTCAGGTAAAGTGTTTTCATGTTAAGCCTGGAAGAGTAGATTGTTCATTTGGGAGAAGTAGTCGTATTGAAACTAAAATTTATTTGGGACAAGAATGTGAAATTATTTATCTCGTTTCAGGAAATTTAATTCCTGAGATAGCTTAGAGCGCTTTTTTTTTCCTGCTGCTAGTGAAGTATTAGAAAAGGACTTTGAGATAGATCTTTACAGGGCAAATGAAGTTCCCAGCATTTCTTAAAAAAAATAAGAAAGAAAAATGAAAAAAGAAACTAAAAAGATTGTGATGTTCTTTTGCCCAAAATAATTAGTGTAATGTAAGGATGATACAAGTTTCTTTTAAAGTCAAGAAATTCAACCTGCTTTCTATTGTAGTCAATGACGCATAAAATCTCACTCATTCATTCACAGCATCATTTGCTCCGATAAGCTTTGCAATCAAGGCCAAAGAAAATGACCTTCTTCCTTTGGAGAAAAACCGTGTAAAGTTAGATGATGACAGTGATGAGGAGGAGGAAGAGGGCAAGGAAGGCCAAGAGACTGCTAATAATGCTTCAAACCATACTCCAGCTGTTACCACTCCTTGTATTCCTACTGAAGAGAGAAAACCTCAACTTACCCAGGAGGAGCTGGAAGCTAAACAAGGTATTCCATGTTACACTGACAACAAAAGGAAAGATTGAGTCCTTCAGGCAAGCTACAAAACTGTCATGTGAATAAGTATGGTGTATTGAATCTTCACTGTGTCATGTTAATAGAATGACAATTCTTTTTCCAGTTTCCTATTTATTGTTAAGAATGAAAACAACATTGGTTGCTCAGCTAAAATCAAACTTACAACACACTGAAATTGAGTACTTTGCCCTAACGCATTAACTTTCTGAATTTTATTTGGTTTTTCCACTACAACCTCCAAGTAAAACACTAAAGTTCTAGTTTTCAGATTGCATTAACAGAACCCAGAAAAAGGCATGTCCATTTCTCTTTTTCTTCAGAGAACAATGAAATGCTTCAAGCTGTTTTTCAGTTATACAGCACTGAGAGAGAGACTAATATCACCCTGTTGATGTTTTGTTACGCTTAAAACGCAAAGCCATTAAGTCTTTGTATGGGTTTTTCCTGTTACTGTGTTTATATGTGTAAGGGCAGAAGGGTATGCTGTGTGAATTTGAATGAAACCATCTTTCAAAGCCCATTCGTTCCCAGGGCTGTTTCACAGCATGGAGTGTTTAATAAAGTGGAGATGCTGCCAGTGTTTGCCAGCTTAAAAACTTAATACTTCTCATACAATTATGAGTATAGCCCAGGAATTCAATTTTTTGTTTCAAAATGTGTTTTTTTTGTTCCTAAGTAGTGGTTCCTTTGTAAACTTCAGTAACACAAAGTGTGCTGTGGTGATACCTATCTAAAGCAAATGTGAAGTATTTTGTGTGATAATAAGAATGAAGTGTAAAACACACTTGGAGAAAGTTGCATGTTGGAAAAACTGCAGTTGAACAGCAAAACCAGTCACCTTGTACATGCACAGAACACAGATGTGGAAGTGTAAGATGAAAAGGATTAGACACGTTATCTGTTAGGTGCACGTTTAAATCAAGTGGCTAATTTGCTGTAACCACACAACAGTAGCTTTTGGTTGTAACAATGGTGAAACAGCTTCTGAAAAGTTCTGGAGCGGCCCTTTATGTAACCATTTTAAAATGTATGTAAATAGGGCTGGAAGATGTAAGGTAAAGATCAGATCTGTGGAAAGAGCAAATGGAGAGTTTGCATCGCTTTAACAAGTACAAGGAAAATCTTCTGAATTTAGAGTGCTGCTTTTTTAGGTAGCTTTTGTAAATACAAAAGGACAAGTATCCTGAATTTTCAGGATTGGGTTTTTTGTCACTTTCTTTAAGCTTAAATATTTTTACGTCACCCATACTGCTTTTCAACAAGCAGGTTGAATTAAGGTGCTTGGAACGTTGTAATTTCAAGCTGATACATCCTTATGTCTTTGGCTGTATTACATTTGAAAACGGTTGGAAGGGATGTTTCGTTGTGTTTGTTTCAAGGAAACTAAATTTCCCTAAGCATTACTCGCTCTAAACTTTGTGCTTAATTGTCTTTCTTAGCAAAGCAGAAACTAGAGGATAGATTAGCAGCTGCAGCAAGAGAGAAGCTTGCCCAGGCCTCTAAAGAATCGAAAGAAAAGCAGCTACAGGCAGAGCGCAAAAGGAAGGCTGCTCTGTTCCTGCAGACCCTCAAAAACCCTTTGGCAGAGGCAGAAACTGAGAAAATTGAGGAGAATTCCTTCAGTAACGAGGTAAGCCTGAAATAAATTTCTCTTTATGGTAGAGCTAGCAAAAATCTTACGTACAGATTGTGAATCTGACAGTATGTTGTGAAGTTGACTGAAGCAATAGAAGCTTTTCTGAACGGAGAGAAACTTGAATTTTAACCACTGTTAATCTTTCTCAGTTACATATGTCTATCATCTGTCATTAAAGAACTGGTGGAGAAATTATGCACAATTCAGAGGTTACCCAGTTACAGAAAGGAAAATGAGCTTATAAGCTTAACTCTGTGCTAGTGGTTAATGAATTAGAATGCTTTCCTTTCAAGAGTATTTGCGTATCTGTTGTGATACTTATTTAATGTGTATTTTGATGTGAGTAGACATCTTCAAGTTCAGAAACAGTTCACAGGCAACTGAGTTTAACACTTATTTTGCACCTGTTCTGCTGGGGTTTGTTGTTTGATTTTATTAACTGGCATGAAACAGATGAATAGTTAGTAAACCAATCAATGTAATTTAAGGTTTCTAGCAGAGACATCCTTAAGAAAATATATAAGAGGGAGAAAACTAGGCTATATAATGGTGGTTCTTTGTCATCTTTGCGTTAGTCATCTTTGTGTTAGTTGAGTATTTAATGTAAACTCCTTAAAAGTTTAGAGTGCTGGAGTGTTCTTCTCCGTCTTTTAGGTCCAAGTTTAGTACGGGAGTTCCAAAAGATTGGTTTGTGTTAAGGATATGATTTTTAAGATAAAGCTAAATTTACAGATAGTGGTACAAAATTCTAATACATGTTACTTAATGCAAAGTCAGTGAACAGTCAAAAAACTCAGTGAAATAATCGAGGGGGCTAATTATTCTGCTGGCTGTCTTCTAGAGAACTGGAAGAGTGTGCACGCTGCCTGTGCCTACTTGCTCATGAAAACACCTAATCTATTGGGTTTGTTCAGCA